ACGTTGGGTAAGGGCAAAACCTGTTATATAAAATTTTCAATTGTACTCGTATACAAAATGCCATGGACAACGGTTTTTGACACTGCCGGTTAGGCAAAAGTGCTCATCTTGTCCGTGTTCTCGTCTTAGCATAGCTTGTATTAAGTAAGTTTTCTCTCATAGGAATGTGTACAGTATGAATGGCACTGAAGAACTATGCTCGTCTTAAGCGCGATCTCGTCTCAAGCGTGCTCGTGTTATTCATGTTCAACTGTATTTGCAAATCAGACTTGTAACGCTGTGGCATGCTTAATCAAAAATTTGTAATTACTCATCAGGGTTGATAGGTACTAATTCATTTTGCTGCTTTTATTCTCAGTTTCATATTTGAAAATGAAGATAAACCTTGCGTTTAATTTCAATATGGCTGACCCATGAATAAAGTGTACTAAATCCCTGAATAAAATACTGATTAAACCATCACGAAAACTCAAGGAAATAAGGTGTCTGCAGTTTATAACAGTCCATGACTCACCTCTGTTTGACCTCGCTAGTAGTCTCTTCTCCAGACGTTGTTGCCTGATCGCTGCTCTCTGTCTGTGACTGTGCTGCACTTTCTGCAAGGACCTTCTCCTCAGCATCAAACTTCTGCATTGCATCTAAGCCAGGCGGAACATGGATGCCTCAGAGTGACTGGCATGTCGCAGTGCATTTATTGACATATAAGATGGTTCAAGTAAACGGCAGAGCCCAGCAGTGAAGATGAGCATTACTTCAAGAAGCACTCAAAGCCAAATGTGCCCAAAACTCGACATGCATTGACATCTTGTGAATTTCCAGCTCCGATAGTTCCCATGTCCTTTAAATTTGCGTCTCTCGTTATGTCTTAGCTTAGTGCACAGACCGTCTTTTCATTATCAATCTGACCTCCCAACTTTCCACGATGTGTTCACCAATTCTAAAGATTAATAGTTGAAATTGAGGCCATCTTCCTTGTGGCCTGGGCACCTAGCTCTAGGGACAACAGATTTGGATACAGCTACAACCTTAATCAAATAATACTAAAGGTCTTTTGTTGGAGGGAGGGATTCCCGAGACTTGTCCTACCTGTGTATAATTTCTTGCCAACATCTGCATAAATCACAGTGAAGAGATCCAAGGATCCTATGGTGACAGGATGAGCATCTCCGTATACCTCACGGTATATTTTGGTTGCCTGAAAGCGACCAATGAAGCAGGTTGGTGTTTTTCATTCAAATTCACAAGAATTCACGTACAACACAAACCAAAACAAGATTTCCAGGATGACACCACACGCATAAAATTCGGGCTGCATTAGGGGCAGGCTTACTGACTGAAACTCCCAGAGACAATAAAAGTAAAAATTATTCATCCATGCCTATTAAATACGAGGACGAACACCCCCCCGCATGCCAGGGTACTGAAAAAAATTCCTGTTTCCATTTAGAACATGTTTGATTGCAGCTCAACGTACCTTTCCGCAGTACTCAAGAGCCAGTTGTGGTCTGAAACGACACAGTAAATGGAAAGTTGAAGCCAAGTAGCATGTACTTACATTGCATAAAAGAGAAACGAATCAAAGGGAACCATCCACTGTGTTTCATTTCAAAGACCATACAAACTTTGTGTTGCAGGCGGTTACAGCAAGTAATGAAAAAAAACAGTTGACCTCTGAACTGATCAAAAAGAAAGCAGCCATTCACATTCAATAAAAAATGTTTAAGAAGCACTTACCTCCATCCTCCAAACACAATCTGGCCCTCTGATTTTCACACTCTTATATGTACCATCAAATTTTGCCTCAAAATATGTTGCAACTAGAGCAAAACCTCTTACTCTCGTCTTCAACAGGTGTAAATTATTAGTTATTCTCCAAAAGATTTGCCATAAAGAGGAAGTCAAAAACTTTCCAGCTTCCTCCAAACCTGTCCCCAGACCGATGCAAATTTTGACGGAGACAGCATTCAAAAAATGAATAACTTGAGATAAATAAATTTTTGTCACCACATTTAATGATCCCCTGCCTTACTTGGATTCCTTTAGACAGAGCTTAGCGAGGTCCTCATACTCCTTGGCCTTGACAATCTCTGGTGAGTCAGGTCCGGCTGGCGATGACGCCCCTTCTGTCCCTTCACCTTTTCCCTCAGTACTCTCTTCACTGGTTGACTCTGAGGGGATAAATCAATCAGAACGTCCAATTTAAAATCAGCTCAATTATAAGAAACAGAGTTTTCTGACGTAATGCAATTAACTAAACATAGGATATCTGTGAAACATGTTATTGCCACAGCTTATACATATTCATCATCAAGAACTAAATTCTTACTGGTCAATAGACCTGCCCATGAAATATGCAAGTAAGGCAGGCGCATGTGCATTACTACCACTGGTTGGCTAAGTTGCTTAATCTATGACATAACAATATTTTCTCCATGCACGCACCACTTTCGCCGTTTCTGTATTACAATAGTTTGACATGAGTGCTAAACTTAAAGACAAGTAATTGTTGCTTCATTTAGTGTCGAGAAAAGTGTGCTCAAGTAACGGGCAAAGGCTGTAATATGGTTTTGATTGACCTTTAACACTCTTGGTTATGGCTACTAACAGCTCCCCTACACTGCCGACAGTGTTGTCGGCCGCACTTGCCAACCAGTGGTAGGAGCGCCCATCTTATTTGTATATTTCATAGAAAAGGTCCATTCACTATCTTGTCAGTTGCTATCTTCATTGTTCACCAGCCCGTAACGTGTACATGCATGGAGACTACTCAACTCCCGATCTGAGCAAGTCTTATGCATTCATTTTAATGGAGTAAGCGTGGAACTGTAGCAGGTGAACAGCATCCATGCTTGCGGTAGCATAGTATCCATACAGGTTAAGTATTACATGTATACCTAATTGCTTCTGCAGGTTGACAATATCAATCAGAGCCGTCTCATAATACATCTTCTCGGCCTGAATAAAGTGAACAGCCTTTTCGTCTAAAAAACATGGAGGTTAAAGAAATCCACCGGTACATGATAATACATGTCTAAAATCAATATGAGAGCTCTGATATTGGCAAGGATCCAATTGGTCAAATCATGGTAACGGTAGTTGAAATAGTCTAAAACCAGTTGAAATATAGCCCTGCTGGCTAGTTGAAATAAAGTGTCCCACTGATGTTTAATTAATATGATTTGACACATTTCTGTATTTTACGTAAGTTTCCCTACGAATATGAACTATTCACACTGTTTGGCAGCTCTGCCCCATGCAAACTGCTTTCACTCAAGGTGTATATCAGTTATCACAAAATGTGACCCACTCTGCGAAAATGAGTCTTAAGTTGCCAGAGCCACTTTGGAGCAAAAAACCCTTTAGAATAATTTTGCTCAGTTTAAACCAATAGGACCCCACAGCATTTGTCACCATTAAGTATCCACTTTCATCAGGATGCCAAACTGAGTGATACATCAAACAAAAAGCTCAATTTGCGCTTTCAAATACAAATGAAAACTCAGAAAGTGGCTCCGGCAGCTTAAGACTCATTTTCACAGAGTGGGTCACAAATGGCCAGTTTCACTGTTTATTTCTGACCCAAAGTGTGACGAGCCCATCCCAAAATCGAAACTATACTGGACATTAGAAAACCTGGTGAGCAAGTCAAGGTTAGCCCAGCAGGTGGACTGGTCAGTTGGGAAAAGAGCGTAAGGGCAAACGTTATTCTGGCAAACTTGGGTATGTCCATACTTAAGCTTGAGAGTACAAGGTTGTCGCTGAATAAACCCTCTCATCAGAATGAGCTATCGTAAAGCAGTACCTCAGCAAACTAACCATTTCACCATGCTGTTACTTATGTCTTCTGTTCAGATCACAGCGATTGAATTAATAGACCGCTAACTCCTCAGCCACTGCGTGGAGCAATTTGACCCCGTCCTGGGCACAGACCTTTTGAATTTGTGTGCATGCTTGTAGAGCATTTGAAATCAGATGGAATGAATATCAAATTACACACTCTTAATGCAATGCGTATCAGGTACCAATAAGATCTGATTAACCCTAACCAACCTCAATCCTTCACCTGTTGGAGGACTGAGGAGTGTTAGGGTTAAATGAAGTCATGGCAAAATTATCTGCAGCGCTTAAAGGTGTGCTTTGCATTGTTAACGTAGAGCAAAATGGAATGCTCCTTTACTGAATGTGCGTTTAGATTTTCGCATATGGGCCGTGTTGACATATTGTTTTAGAATACACCCAGCAGGCATCACACTCTAGTTTTCATACATAGCTCTATGGTTCAAACTTGCTTCTTATTCATCTTAACTTATTCACTGTCCACCGCGCTCAATTTCCCGTTTAAAACACTGTCAAAGGATACACTCCTTCTTCTCAAAGTAGATGTTGGAAATCTGTGGTTAAGAAAGCGACACAAGACGTGGTTATTCGCATCCAATGAGAAATCAGTGCTGAATACTCATGTGGGGTCGGGATGCTTCCTCAACACTGTCAACTATGGTCCAATTTACCACATGGTGAATGTGAACATTAAAATCTACTTGATCTCTCTTTATGATGTCTGGAAAGCATCATAACAAGATATCAGATTCTGCAACTGCTCTCTCGGAATTCCTTTTATATGCATTTTAAGGGTTTTTTCTTGTAACTGGTGAATAGTGTGACATACCTTCCCACATCCAGCACCACTCCCTACTTCTTATAACTCAACGAAATAATTCTGCATAAGTTTTTATTTCCTGCCAGTATTTGTGAAGAAATTGTTATCTGTACTGTGACTACACACTTGTTACTTAAGTACATGTAACAGATCTGGGCCGTTGTCAGGTAAATCACAAGTCTCGTCACAAGTAGCAGGATTAAAACAATGATAAAGGAACAAATGGTTTAGGCAAAGTTCATTTGAAGAGCTTGCGCCTGGGTTCAGAGGCATCACTAGGGTGAAACTTTTCAGGGATGCGTCTCTGAAGGGGGTACGCTGTGTATTCCTACCTGATGGAGGCACTGAGGCAGCTCAGTGAAGGCTTCGCTCTCTGTCAGGCCGGTGATGGCAGCCAGGTAGCAACGTAAGGCTTCGTCGGTATTTCCCATCGTCTCTTGGAGCTTCAAGCCCTCCTTGTACAGACCATTCCGCTGTCGTCTCTTTAGATGGACTGGGTCATCGATGGGCTCTTCTTGGCCTGGGATTGTACAAAACAGGATGCAGGATATTTCTGTTATTCTAACCTTAGCGTAAAAATGGCAGTAACATGGGACAACTGGACCAAGAATTCCTTCTTAAAACTCCTGTCCAAAAAATCTTAGGTTTACTGATCAAAAGGATTTTAACAATAACACACAGCAAGTTAAAGTGTACTGTGTTAGAGGATTCCATTAAGATATGGTTGTTGAAAAAGGAATTAACTTAAGGCAGACCCACCATACATACCCTACATGTAATGTCCAGCTGGTTGATAACTTATACATGCGGGTAGCATTTATAATGGAATGCATACATGAATATATACCACATCTCTGACAGTCACTTTGAAAGGATGCTTTGGAAAAAGTTAGGCAGCCTTACTACCAATGATGTGCAGACTATCTGCGTCACAAGTGCAGCCTCCCTTTTGTTCCAATGTGGCAATTGCATGCGGTTGAAAGGGAGGCAGCATTGGCAAGCTTTGACAACCAGAATGGATTTCTGTGGCATGGAAACGAGAGAATCTCTTTTACAAGAGCGACATCACTTTTGTATCCTTCTATATGGCCACTATGACCAGAGAGTAGCAAATACCTGATGATTCCTTAGCATCGCCTCCTCCTGGCGTCAGATCCTCGTCCTTGCTCTCACCGTTCCATCCCTCTCCATCTTCCCCCACTTCTCCTTGTGATCCCTGTTCCTCGTCCGGTCTGTTTTCCTCCGTGACACTTTCATCCGAAGCCCCTTCTGAGCCTCTGCCGTCCTTCACTTCTGGAGGATCACCATTTACGCCTGGAGGGAAGTCATGATCACTTGCCATGTAGTCCATTTCAGTGTCTCTTGGACCTAGGTCTTCTATACCAAGATTGGACATCTCTGCCACTTCATTAGCACGGTCATCCTCGTAATTTTCAACAGGATCAGTCTCAAAGGTGTCCTCTTCAAAAAACGTTTCCTTACCCATCTCATCTAGGCTGGCGCTAGAGTTGATCACATTGGCAATGCCAGACGTGTCGTGTCCACCAACAGCACTGTTTTCGTCCTGGGAGCTGGAGTCAGGTGGATGCAATGTCATTGCCATGGTAACAGGATTCAGGGAGTTATCCCCTCCTGCTAATCCATCTGCGGCATCAAGGTCTGCTGCTTCTTCCGAGTCCATGCTTTACCTTAACATTCAACATAAAACAACAAAAACTAATCATTAACACAGGAATAAATATGTGCTTGTCCAGTCTTAAACGTGGGTTTAAAGACCAACTCCAACAATGGTAGTTTTTTCATATTGCATGCTATTCCAAAGAGCCAAGTCTAATAAAAGTGGCACATATCAATATCTCCCTTGCAAGATACATTTTTGTGTTAATAAAACACAGTTTTTGTACCCATTTTTCCCGTGAGTCCAGTCCAGTGTTGTAAAATGGGACATGTCGTCACAACTCATTAGCATCTGATGAATATTTATTTCTGTGATGTACATGTATTATCCTGAATAGGAAATACCACAGTGCATGCACTTTAGGCATGCATAGCACGCGTAGCCGTGGGCGACAGCACAAAGTTGAAGAATGCTCTCACTCTTCGGAAACTCAAAGAATTTTATTCCCAGTTCTTTCGCAGAATTTCCAGTAAATCATGAAGAAAGAGCACAAATGCTCGATAAAAAAGAGACAATGCGGCACAGTAGACCCAGAACACAGATCGATCCCCAGTAAGGAGTGTACGAACATGTAGCTCCACGTTCATGTAAACGTACATGTACGTTTGTAGTGGAACCAGTCGTGCCATGGATACCGCTTTCATTGTTCTTTCCGGTATTACATCATACGGCTTTCATTGTTCTTTCCGGTATTACATCATACAAATTTCGTTTTCAACAGGGCCGCTTGCGATCAGATTGTGGAAATTTTCCATAAAACTCGAAGACACTGTTCAAAAGTTTCTGCAAAATCACCAAAAATACAGACGAAATACAGACCGGACTAGGTACTGAACGCATGATTTATTACCCACTACACACAATAACAGTTTATTTTCCAAACTGTTAAAACTGTTGGAGTTGGTCTTTAAGAGTGGCTCAGAAGAATAGATGCAATTAATGCCTAAGCCATAGGCAAGGGCATCATCAGTGTTCATTCTCCTGAGCTGGTCTAGAATGTAGACTGGCCAAGCACATATTTAATCCCATTCACAAATTCCTTTTTAGTCAGAGATTCAAAAGAGATCAAGATAACAGATTTCCAACGATTTTGTAACAGAATTTTACTTTCATTTTCCTGAACACCCCCCGTCCAGTTTTCTAATAGTTGTCCAAACGAATCCAATTGTTTGGACTTGGCGAGCACGCGGCAAGCCGCGTACACACAGACTCTTAAAATCTTAAATCAGAAATCGATTAAACTGTCTCGTATGCAGGTGCCAGCACTTGATTTATGCAGCAGGCATTATCAAATGTTAATACACAGTCAAGCTGCATGTTGTTCAATAAGGAGACTGTCTGAGGTACATGTATTTATGAATGGCTATTGAATAACATATAGTGGGACTTTGTTACCAGCACCACAAAATTTAACTTGGCACTGTTTAAACCGTACCCTCAAGAGACGGTGCATAAGTCCCTCTTGATCCTTATCATGAGGGCGGTTCACAGTATAAGTGGCCCAAAAACTTGCACAAGGGCAGGTTGTGCAGAGGGTACATGCACAAGTACATGTAAGTTTATAAAGTAAAACAAGTGTTTTACATGTTTTTGCTTTCTGATGGCTCACAGGTCACTGTGGGGAATATTATTGGCATCCATATATGGAACTCTTTCGGAATAAGAAATCTCCCACCCCTCCCCACATGTGACAAGAAATCTCCACCCACAGAGAGTCCCTGTATGACTTTTAACGACGCACTATACAGACAGAAAGAAAACATTTTTTTTTCTGACAGACAATGTAATGGTTATGGTTTGGAGTAAAAATTCGCCATGACTACCGCGTCGCGTTGGTCACTCAAGGATTTTACTTGTGTTGTGAGAAGAGGGCGCTATACGAGCCATCCAAAAGTTAAGTCACGTCACACAGTACACACAGGCCTAACATGGTTAGAACTAGAATAATGTAGGGCAGCATATAGAGCTAAAATATTCGTCATTTTAGAAAACTAATTTGCACGTAGGCCCCTACAAACGAACTTAAACGAGTTAATGACAAAATAAACTTAACAAATAAACTTCACTATTTGGAAACATAAAAAACATACGTGTGTACTCGATAGCACCACAGGTCTTCCGTATGGGTCTTGTTGTCTACGGCTTTCGAAAACAAAACCGGCACCCAAAGCTACGGCCGCGGCCGTGTAGGAATTACTTGGCTAGTTATGGCTAGAAATAAGAGATCCGCTGTTTGTAAGCCGCAGCAAAGTAATTCGAGCGCGGCTAAAGAGAAGACCTGATTTCGAAACCAATGCCCGACTGCGGATACACCCAGTATGGTACCCTGTATTCTCAATCGAATTTATTATTAATCTTTTTGCAAGCATCGCTAGCGGCGTGGCACACACGCATACGTTTGCCGCGTGTGTGCATGTGTCGCTCGCGCGCTCTAGCTACACTGTCCCCTCCCTAGGCCTCCTGCATGTGCTGAGCTAACTGGGGAGATCTTGCCATGATCTGCCAAGCTTAGGTAGGATTATTCTGAGCGGTTTCATCTTGAATTCCTTTCACTAATTACTTAGTATGTTAAATCCAGTAGATAGTGTGTAGTGGTTTCAAAATGTTTCAGAGTACCAGGCAGTAGGCCCTACTATTGAAAAGCAGTCTTACTTAGTATAGACCCTTCAGTAGGTACCGTTACTACCCAGTAGGATGGGTTACTCTGTTATCGTGGTAGTTACCACATTTTCCTATCTAAATATTGCTCGCTCACCGTCCTGAATTATCATGTCATTCTTGTTGTTTAACTCTTACATTTTAACTTGATTCATAAAAATTTGTTTGTGGTTCAATTTAGTTTCCTCTACGATAGCACAGATGTGCACACCGTTTGCAAGTGGAGGTGGAGTCTTTATTATCGTGGTTTCTATGATAGCCTTTAACCCTAACCCTCCTCAATCGTTCACCTGTTGGAGGACTGAGGAGTGTTAGGGTTAAAGCACTTTGTTTATAAATAAAGATAAACAGAATGATTCAGTTTTTCAGAGGAAACAAAAATAACCTCATTTTTTGGTAATGTTCCGTTTTACCTGAAGTTGAGTCCATTTTTTCCAATCTCCTCCTTAAAGATGCCAAATGCTGAGAGAACGAGATGGAAACAATTGTATTGCTACACCTTACACTTATTATGATCCCGCAAGGAATGACTACATTTGTTTCACCAGAACTCCTTTACCCCAATCCTAAATGTAGCAACAACTTTTGTCATTCATCTTATTACTTAAATTGGTGTCTGCAAAAGGAATAATACATGTAAATATGCGGGTATCACAAATTTCATTTTCTTGATTGACTCCTTCTTTTGTAGATGTCTGAAACAATTATTAAAATTTCTGCTATCTGAGTTCTAGTTCCCCAAAAGTTGTAACCATCTCATGAGACCTGAACTACATGTACTTGTATGTCATTCAAACTTAATGTTAGAAATTCCAAATATCCCTTGCAAAATTCTTTATATAACTGTATAACTAAAGCAAAAAACAAATTGAGACATTAATGCCGATGTACATGTAATTATTCACTATTAATTGCCCTGGAGGGTAAAAGTATGATTGATTTGTATCAATTATATAAGTCTGTTGTAATGGAAATTGGGGGGTGTTTTTACGCACGCAAAATGTTTTTCAGTGCAGAAGTCCTTATTTTGACTCTGAAAAAAAAATGGACGCTTTCAGGGTTAAAATGTGTCTTTAGACACCATTGGCATTTTGGAATTGACATATTGGAACCTAGCAACGGATATCCAAGGGCAGGGCAGTGTTAGAAATAACTGTTAAAGAGATAAACGGTAGGTCATGACAGACACCATGAAGGCAAATTTAAGAATTTCTTAAAAATTACATCTTTTATCAAACATTATAAATTAAAAGTTACAAATACTTATAAAGTTTTTCACTCTGTTTTAATAGAACTAATCCTCAGGCCATAAGTTATTGATTACCTAGATGAATATCTGACTGGAAACTCACTGGCAATGCAAAATTCAAAATTTCTGATGCGGTAGTAATAGAGTTACTCCAGTAATTAGGAACTCAGTGAAAGTACATGAAATTAAACAAATAAGTTTGATCTTGTGTAACCAGGTAACGATGTAAAAACTACCGGTATTTGGAGCAGGGCTTTTT